CCACCAGCCGCTCATTAAGGGAAGTGTTTCCTCCTGCCTTCTCTCCACTCCTTGGTGGAGAACAGGTTCCTCATTCATTCACAATGAGGTTGGTCGGTTTAAGAAGAACCAAGTCACTACATACAGAACATTTCCCAAGTCCTGCAAGAGGGCAGAGAAGTGCAGCAATCCATCACACCAGGCCCCACTGTGGCTGCAGCCTGCTGGAGGTCCCAGTGAGAGCACATGTTCTGCTGTGGGACCCCAGGCAGGACAGCACAGGGATGGGACACAAAGGCAGCTGAGGTTGGGCATGCAGGGCAGAAAGGTGCACTGGAAGCAAGTGTCATGGAACAAAAGCCACTTTTAGGGGAGAGATGAAACCAAAACAATAACACTACATTTTAGAAAGTTGATATTTGACACCAGTCACACACTTGTGGTTTCCTCTATACAGTTATGGTTTTCCTCAAGCTCAACCATGCAGCATTTTCTRCTTGATTCCGGGAGGCAGCTGGAATTTCAGTGCAGGTCACTGTGCCTCTGCACCTCCCCTTGGGCATGCCAAACATCACCACCACCTCCTAGCACACACTGCCTGGTTGACACCTCTGAGAAGGTCCAAGTGCAGGCTGCAAGAGCAGAGAGGTCGCCACAGAGCATGGAAGGGAAGCCCAGATGACTGCTCAGAAATAACCCAGCCCTCTTGGCTCTTCCACTGAGCTCCACCTGGCTCAGAGTCTGGAGAGCAGCCAAACCTAACTGTCAGCAAGGAGCAGGCAGCAGTTCTGGTTGGGGTGCTAGGGATGCAACCCAAGGCATTTCCCTCCTCCTCCTCTCAACCTTCTCTCCTGCGGTCCCTGCCCTGCCTGCAGAGCCTYGCAGAGCACCTTGCACACAGCTATGCTGGCCTCTGCTGGGCTGTCAGGGCTCACGGCAATCRGCAATAAAAGCCAGTTGCAGAAAGTCACAGAAAACTGGGAAAGGTCTGGACCACCACTAAAGCCCAAGGGGTGGAAGAGGCCAGCAGTATCATGGCAGCCTTGGGAAAAGGCCTGGCCAATTCCCAGCAGGAAAGCAACACGAGCTGGGCTCAGAGCGGCACCATGTGTGCTGCAACCTGCCTGGGGGACACGGATGAACAGCCACCAGCACGGGCAGGGACAGGCCCGGGCCGCTGCCAGGCCAATGCACAGGCTTACTGAGGACGTGGGGCAGAGCACAGCAAACAGCACCAAACTGTCCTCTGCCAGTTCAGCAGTTAGGACGGGGCCAAGGAAAGCTCCTCCAGGTTTCATACCTGCAGTCTAACACCTGCAAGATGTTCTCCCACAGCCATGGCCCCCCGGCTTCCTTGGTCACTTCCCACGTAAATACTAAGCAGACCCCAGCACCTAAGAGGATAAGGGATCAATCTGCCCAGCAAAGCCAAAGGCAAGCTCATATCCTGAGATGCATACATGGCTGAACCATGAGATAATCCCAAAATGAAAGTGGGCCAGGCACAAACACAGAGCACCAGCCATAGTGAAGTGCCTCTGGGCACTTCCTAAAGGCCAGGGAATTCATGATACCTTAGCCCTAATTTTTCTTGTTGGTTTGGGACCCCAAAAGTCACCCCTTGATGACTCTGCACTGATAATGGGTGCTACTGCAAAGGACACACAGACTGCCCAAAAGAGACAGCAGAAGGTGTCTCCAATCTCAGTCCACCTCATGGCAACTTGTTTATCTCAATCCCAAACATCAGCAGATGACATTTTGCCACTCTGTTGCTCACTGTCCAAGCGTCCACACAACTGTACAGTAGGACCCCATGCCAGACACTCCCAGGAAGCCGCCATCAGGTCAGACTCTTACCGGGATCTGTGCAGTCAGTGCTTAAGTTGGCTTGGCTGTAGGTCTGATAAATACATGCCAGTCACAGAGCAAAGAGGGAGCCCCCAGCACCACCCTGGTCATCAGAGGAAACCAGCCAGAAGTACAAGGAAAGTGGCTTTGCAGGGAGCCAGTGGGAAAGTCGGATTAAGAGATGACTCTAAACTGCAGGTCCCAAGAGTAGAGAGTTGTAGCCCATGAGCAGGGGAAGGAACAGGAGACATCTCAGAGCCAGATCTCTGCAGGAAAACCCTCCTCTCTGTGGAAAACAGTCTTATTGGGTCTAACAGAGAAGGGCCAACTTGCAGGTTATGTTGAAGTGCCCCAAGGGAGGGAATGGAAGCCTTGGAACCACCTAAGACACATAAAGCCTGCCTGGCTAAAGCACCTACCGCATACGCTGAAGAATAAGCCTTTGCTGGCCCTCTGRGGGATGGCAGCCAAAGAACAAGGCTGCATTCCCTGCGGAGGAGCAGTTCACAGCAGGACACAGCTGAGGACGTGCTCAGCTCCCCCAGAGCCCTGYGCAGAGGGCAGCAATGCAGCCAAATGCAGGCAGAGCAGCTCTCAGGCTCCTGAACCAGCGTGAGGAAGTTTGGCTCCCCCTCAGCCCCTGATGCGAGCTCCTTCCCTTGCCCAAGCAGACTGCTGATTAACTAGGAATTAAGCTGGCATGAGACAAGAGCTCGTTGATGTCTCTATAATGCGTCAGCTGATAGACAAGAATAACTTTCATGTCATCTCTTTTGCTCCTTCTCCTGCAAACATGTCCAACGCCGCCAGGCTGCCAGCCAAGGTCCTCCCGACACCGCAGCTTTATGCTCACACTCAGCAGGATGGCTACAGAGATGTGCAGCTCACACACACCCTGACCCAAACAAATGCATCCAGTGCTATGCAGACATAGGCGTTTTTGTGCGTGCCCTCACATTTATCCTCATGTACACATGCATGGGTGTCAGCCACATAAAGCATCCTCAGATGGCCTCGGATGGGACATCCACCATATGTTTAATGTTCAGGGATGCACATCTGTACCCCTATATACGCCTCAACACTGGCATGATAAGACTGTGGGCAAAGCACCCACGTGCATCTCCACAGGCATGTTCAAAGCTGCCTTTGAAGGGGCACCTTCCCACTCACACCCACACACTCCTTCCCAAGCACTCACACAATTCAGGACAGGTACTGTACAYAAATCCCACCTAGCACATGCTAACACATGGACTGGCATGTATGTGGGTAAGCAAATATATAAGCACATACATTACAGAAGCTGTGCAGACAACATGCATATTTAGACAGAGCAACAAGAGTGAGTAGCCTGCAAACCTACAGCAAGACAAACCGCTAGGTTATGTCATGTACAAGCAGAGCAGCAAGGTGCTGACAGTACTAAAAGGGGAAGAATTATTCTCTTTGCTAAAGATGGAATCCTTGCCTCTTCACTGTCCGGTATCGCGGAAGGAACATGGAGGAGTCCAACTGCAGATTTTTGTTACCACATTAAGCAGTTAAAGGGCCTCATAATGTTAATTTGCATCTTTCTAGAAGTGCTTTCCTCAAGTCAAAAACCAGAAATGCTGCCCAGCTGCCTGTGCCCAGCTCTCTGCCACCATCACCAGCACTACGCTGAAACACCAGCTCCCAGGCTACGGGTCAGCAAACCCGTAGGGAGAAACATGTATTAATTGGTACCAACAAGACTTTGTGCCTTCAGACTATCAATAATACACAGGCCAGCAAGTTTAAAGCCAGAGTGGGTAGGTCCGAACAATACAATGGTCTAAGACACATTTACTCCACCAATACAATCAGCTCTGGAGTTCCTACAGCTTTCTGGAAAACAAAAAGTTCATCAGGAATCAGAGATGTTTTAGTAGTGAACAGCAGCATGTAGGAACTTCATTGTTTTAGAGTCACAGCTTTTCCTTCTCCAGGCCCTAGCAAGTGAGATATCAACACAGGGTCCTTCATCCTCCCAAGGGGCCAGCATTCACAAGGGACAGACCTGGGAGCTCTGCTCCAAAGCAGCACCAGGAGCCACAGGCCAACCTGAAACCAAGTACAAGTGTTTGGGGGACAGAAGCAGTGAGAGGGCAGCAGAAGAGAAAGTGGAAAAACTCTCTGCTGTAGCTCAGTAATTAAAGAAACCCAAGTTAATTTTTAGCACCCTCCAATAGCATCATGGTGGCACTTATAGTTCCAATAATGGCCTCTTATTTCCCCTGCACAGGTATATACGAAAAGTGAGCTCCATGGACACATTTTGACTAACTCCTTCCACTTCGGAGGGAACAGAAACAAGTTTAAGGCCCCTATGAGGAATAAACACAGAACAGAAAGGGCTTGAAACCTTCCTCAAACCCAAATAATACACTAGCTGACAAGGAAAGGAGACAGTGAAAGCAATTGCTCTTAACCTATCCATTGACTTTTGRCTCATCGGGAAAACTCCATAGGTCCCAAAAGATAGTCCTGAAGTAAGGATTTCACAGCAAGTTGCAGTTAAGAAGGACAAATGCCCCTCATCATCACCTCACGAAACATTAAACTTTTACTTTGTGACTCTGTGAATATTTATGGAAGGCCCGTGGTGAGCGAGCACCAGGGAGTAAGGACCTTCCTTAATCCTTTGACCTCTTGACTGCAGCCAGGGTGTGAAAGGTCAGAACAAACAGCAACGAGATCCCAAGCATTTCCTCACCGGGAACACACCACAACACTCCAGGGCTTTCTGCATCAGCAGCTCATGGGAAGGGGTGCAAGCCTCAGCGAGAGGCACAAGCTCTGCAGCAGGTCAGGGGCACCAGCAGCAGCCCTGCCACGGGACAGCAAGAGGCAGCTGCTCCCTGAGGGACARGGACCCCAGCACCGGCTGCACCCCCATTGATGGGGCACAGCCCCACGGGGCTGGAAGAGTGAAAGGCAGAGCTGGGTGCTGCCAGCAGGCTCCATTCTCAGTCCCTCACAAAGCAGGGAACAAACTTGGTCTGGGGGAAGACAGTAACGGGGAGGAAAAAAAAAGAAAAAAAAAAAAAAAAGCAGATCCAGAGCTCATGCCAGGGTCATGAACAACAGAAAGACTGGAGACAAACCAGAGCACTCACACCCAGGAGGCCACCCAAGAGACAAATTACCTGTGTGTTGGCCTGAGGTCCATGCAAGAGAGGAACCAGCCTGAGGCACATCCACAGAAGAACCTGAGCACTGCCCTGGCGTCTGCTCATACAGAGCTGCTGGGCCCAGGTGAGGCTGGTTGGGCTCGTTAAGGCCCACAGGTGCCCCAGACCTGCCCCAAAGCAGGTGTGCAAGCAGCATAACRCCCAGCCCTGGTCAGGGGGAGCTTGTGCAAAAGTGTTGGAGGTGCAGGGGGCTCCRCACGCCCTGGTGCTCTGGGCAGGAGTGGCACTGCAGGGGACCCCTTGGGCGCCTCGTCTAACAGGCCCGTGCAAAGCCAGCAGTGATGCCGTTCCCAGCTCCGGCACTGGTTCCCTTCGGATCCCTCGGTTGCTTTTGCCTTTGCTCCTCATGACTAATGTGGAAACACCATGTTTAAACTCATCACCTCTATCTGCTTTGTCCTCTAACTCTGAAAGTGCTTTCTGAAAAGCCTCCTGTGAGGCTCTAGGACAGGTGCTTGGAGCACTAATAATTCTTTTTTCCTAACAGGAAATTTTGGAGCAAGAACCTTATTACACCATATCTACCCTACAAGTTAATATCAGGGTAATACTTAATTAACTATTAATGCCTCAATTAAAATAATATACACCCTCTATCATTTCACTTTTTTAAAGGGAAATTGCACCTACTGGACTTGTTCACCTTAGAAACATATATATAAAACAAACAACACCAGTGCAAGTTACTATACTTCTATATAGTGTAACTGGGGAAAAAAAATACAAAATAAATTGCTTGGTGTGTGTTTTGCTTCCAGGTTATTCTTTAACCCCGGCCTGTATGAATTCATGTGATTACCTGGCTGCAGAATCCCGAGGGAGGAAGATGATCTTTGCACTTTGAAATGACCGGAAGGCTTGGGTTGTGTTTTTAGAGAAGAAAGCTGTTAGGATTAACAAAATGTGCAGGAATACATTGCCATCCCCGAACACTGCAACCATCGTGGGTCRGATACACTCAGAGATGTCTGCAAAATAGCAGTAGATTTTATATCCTTTTCATTGGATTGCTGAGGTCTGAATTAAGCTTTTCCTTGCAACCTCATTAGGCTAAAAATTTGCTTTTATTTAAATACACAGTCRTTGAGAATAAATGCAATTGCTTCACTCTGGGAGCCGGGGCTCTGAGAGGAACTGCTGTCAGGGCAAGATCTGTGGCAATATCCCAGCACCCGGGCAGGCACCTCCAGGAGAGCAGCTAGAGAAGGTTTTAACTAAAAGACCCTGCAACGAATGCGCCGACCCCTCCAATACTACATTTGTGCAGAAGCCAGGCTGAGCCTCAGAACAAAGTTCTTAAACACTAACAACACCGGGGGAGGTAACAGCCTGTGATCCATGCCCCAAACCCGCTCCCTGGGCTGAGGGCGCTCGCTGCCTTCCTGCCGTGCGGTTGTTTTGGCTGCTGGGTGTTGATCATTTGCACTCACAGGTCTCACGCAGTTGCAAGGGCGTCTATAGAGGCTGGGGGGAGTCGTGTGCGGGTAGTTTCCAGTCTTATTTACATCTAACGAGACATGTTCCTTGAGGGGCCTGTGTGAGCTCATCCCTGYGCATGTTCCACCTCCAGGTCCATCCAGGACCACGCGGCCTGACAAGGGCAGGCGGATGCAGGGAGCGCGCGGAGCTTGGGCGGCTGCAGCCACGGGAGCCACTCYGAGGGACGCGGAGCCCCTCGGCCACCCGCGGCCAGACCCATGGGAGCTGCAGGTGCCCAACTCCCTGCCTGGTGGGCAGCACCACTGTGGCTGCCGCCTTCCACGGATGCCAATGGCAAGTGGCACCGCAGAGGGACCAGGCCACGTCCRCCGGGCCCAAGGCACAGTTCAGGCCACCTGCTTCTCCACACAGGGACTGGGACTGCACAGCCTGTGTCCCCCCCGCCACCACCCAGCTCTGTGGGCTGCCTGCAGCACAGCCCGGGATGCGGCATTGGACAGGGGGACAGGGGGCCTGAGGCATCAGCCCCCTCCCCGGAAAGGGAAGCAGAAATAAAAGGCAGAGGGAGCCTTGTGTGTGTTTTTATTATTATTATTTCTGATTAAAGAGGAATTCATTTCATCTTTGCCTCCTGCCAGGGGCTGAGGTGCCGCCATTGAGGTTAACGGTGCGGAAGAATACAAAAAAATTTCATTGAGGAGGATTATAAAAGTTACTAGCTGGAACATTAACAGAAGAGTAACTTGTAAAAAATGCAATATTACAATATTCACAAGGACGGTAGAGCGTGGTAAAGCTATAAAATTCAACATTAAAATCTTCTACAGCCTAGATAACCTAGTTAACAAACATTGTATTGGAACTACTTTGCGGCGCGGGGCCGAGGGGCGCGGGGCGGCGGGGCCGGGGGCGCCCGGCTCGTGTCGCCCCCGCCGCCCCGCGCTCACCAACTTCTCGCCACGCGCCAGGCGTGGGAAGGGATCTGTGCGCGCGCGGGCCGCGCACGGGGAGCAGCGACTCGTTCCGCTCGTCCCCAGCGCCAAGGGCCCATATAAAGAAGGGCCAATAGCGCCCGGCGGCTCCCGCGGGAAGGGAAGGGAAGGGCAGGGCAGGGCGGCGGGACCCGCGTCGCGCCGCA